CTACAACACACCACACCACGCCGCGCCACGCCACGCCACGCCACGCCACACTACACTGACCCGTGAAGATCTGGGTTAGAATTAGTCTTTAGCAAACCATGCTTGCCATAAAGGGGACTATGCTTGTCGTGAGAGGAGACAAACGGCATCGGGTGGACAGGTTCGCTCACTTGGTTGATGCATGTCATCTTATCCCAATGGATTGATGCTCATGATGTTAATCACTGGATTGACTGGTCCAAACTCGATTATTTACAGAACGCCGTCATGTTACTGAAATATTGCTGAGTGCGGCGTTAAACAACAAACAGACAAACACCATACAAAAGCGACATTAACCCTGTTGTGCTCTTTCAATGTTTTGAGATTGTAATAACCATAACATAGCAGACACAATACACTCTCAAATCGACCACGTACACCTTCACAACTGGTAACGTATACGTACACACAGAGCATACTATGTTCCATAGCGTGAACGCTTGATTGAGATGTATTGTTGTCTAGTCTCCCATGTAAGTGGTCATGACATGAATAATGTGTACTGTGGAAGTATATAATATTTGAATACTTCTTGTTGTCAAGCCGGCTATTCTCAACCAAGTACCTATAGCATTCATACTGCCATATCACAGACAATCAGGTAATTTCGAAAACACAGCTTGCAGTTAAATATTGTGCTGAATAATGTGATTTGTTATAGTTATTGTTATGGTTATATCATGTATACGGTAATTGTATGAGCCATAGATTCAAATGAATGTTTGCGCACTTATGACTTAACAAACATTGATTGACGATTGATTCTTAACCATTTTCTTACACTATTCGGGGTTTGGACCAATGTGACAAAATTTCAGTTTGGTAACCTTTCTTTTGCTCGTCAGTTTTATCTGTTAATATGTAATATGTATCACATGTACTTGTCGATCAACTTTATTTCGTAATTCAGGCCGCATTGCCCAAAGTGCAGATGAAAGAAGAATCATATTAAAGTCACATGCCCAGCGTGTTAGACACTCGCTATCTCATTATTTAAAAATCTTACATAAATTTAGACCTATAAAACTTACAACATTAATAGCACATTCATACAAAAAGGACATCGTATTCATCCTCTACTTAACGAAGGTTATTCGGGGTTTGGACCCAACGTGTCAAGCTGTCAGTTTGGGAACCTTTTATGGCTCGTCAGTTTTAGCTGTTGGATAACATGTATCATATGTACTAGTCGATCAACTTTATATTTCGTAATTCAGGCCACACTGCACATAGTGCAGATGAAAGATGAATCATATTAAAGTCACATGCCCAGCGTGTCACTTTAAATAGTTTACATAAATATAGAACTATAAAACATAGAACAATAATAGCACTTAAGTTATACTTATTTGCCAACGTAATTCTACCTTTATCATATTTCTGGAATGAGATAAGACAACTATTTCGATAGAGACTATAATTCTTACATACAAAAAAAGACATTGCATTCATCTCCACTAAATGAAGGTCACTGTCTTTACATACTGAATCTGTATAAGGTATAGTTAACGCTGACTTTTCGCAAATAATGTTTACTCGACAGTTGTTTAGAGACTTTCGAAGTTTGCACATTGCTCTAACAAATCGTTTGTCTCTCGGTACAGTTATATAAAACACAGGTTATAGAAGATATTTTATATGAACAAAATGCACTAGAAAGACAGAAACCTCCAAACTTCGGTACAATATTTGGAACAAAAGTATCTGTTTAACGTCTTTTGAATGCATACAAACCTCTTCGTATCCCCTACATCAACCACACACACGCAAAGCCATGATTAAATAACATTTGTTAACATACGATGCCCTATTCACTTTAATATTCTCCGCCAATAATTTAAACAGAACATAACTTGTGAAGGGGTATCGACTTGCATTCACTCACAAAAACTTAATCCAGTACTTCAGTGCCCTTATTGGCGTATTTAAAAACATAAATTTGAGACCAGATATTTTGCAGCTGCTGCAAAATCATGCAACAATGTCATATTTAAGGCCGTCAAGTACTTCTTTTTCGAAATAAAATGAAGCTTAATTATTTTTTTCAAGAATATTCTTTTTCGATGAAATTCCAGCTGTCCATAGTAATACTGCGGTATGGTATCTCAATGGCCAAGCTCTATACATCCGTAGTTAGTCTGGAGTACTACAAGCAGCCAGACACACACACACACACACACACACATACACACACACACACACACACACACAAACACACACACACACAAACACACACACACACAAACACACAAACACACAAACACAAACACAAACACACACTCACACACGCATGTACACTCTCTCTCTCACACACACACACTCACATACACACTTACACACACACTCACACATACATACACTCACACACATACACATATTCACACACTCACACACACACACTTACACATACTCACACTCACACACACATACTCTCTCTCACACACACACACACACACAAACACACAAACACAACCACACACACACACACACACTCACACACGCATGTACACTCTCTCTCACACACACACACTCACATACACATACACACTTACACACACACTCACACATACATACACTCACACACATACACATATTCACACACTCACACACACACACTTACACATACTCACACTCACACACACATACTCTCTCACACACACACACACACACACACACACACACACACACAGAGAGAGTTGTGTGTGGCTGCTTGAAGTACTCTGCACTAATGACCTCACCTTTATTTGAAATCAATATCAATGCGATCGTAAAGACCATTCTCTGATCTATTTGGTATGTTTATTCATAAATCCATTCGCATAGTATGAAAACAGGGCAGGCTGCGTCCAGTTCAATGAAGCAGGCTTGTGAAGGCTCTACAAAGCAGTATAGAAACATTCCATTCCACTCGTTATGTGAAACATGCGTTGCCAGTAACATGATGACAAATATACTGGAATAACTTGAAGGGTTATGTATGATTCGCTATGTATGAGATCATTCTTTGTTATAATCTTTTCTGCACCCCGAGTTTCATATAACTGTACTCAGAGACAAACGCTTTGATGGAGCAATGTGTAAATTTCGAATATTCTCGGAACAACTTTCGACATTAATATTATTATGTGAAAAATCAACATTACATATACCTTATACAAATTCTGAATGTAAAGACAGTAACCTTCGTAGAGGATGAATACGTTGTCTTTTTTGTATGTAAGCGCTATTAATGTTGTAAGTTTTATAGGTCTAAATTTATGTAAGATATTTAAAATGAGATGGCGAGAGTGTAACACGCTGGGCATGTGACTTTAATATGATTCATCTTTCATCTGCACTATGTGCAGTGTGGCCTGAATTACGAAATATAAAGTTGATCGACTAGTACATATGATACATGTTATCCAACAGCTAAAACTGACGAGCAATAAAAGGTATTTGGTTGAGAATAGCCGGCTTGACAACAAGAAGTATTTATATATCATATACTTCCACAGTGCAAATTATTCATGACAGGAACACTTACATATACATGGGAGACCAGACAACAATATGTGTCAATCGAGCGTTCACGCTATGGAACATAGTATAATCTGTGTGTACGTATACGTTACCAGTTGTGAAGGTGTACGTGGTCGAGAGAAAGTGTATTGCGTCTACTATGTTACGGTTATTACAATCTCAGAACATTGAAAGAGCACAACTATGTTTAATGTCGCTTTTGTGTGGTGTTTGTTTGCTTGACAGTGGTACTGAAGGGAGTACGTAGTTTGTCTCTATTCCCGTATTCCGCACCGAATATAATGATGCCCACCAAGTAAAGAAAACCTGGAAATTATATAGTGTAAAAATATCTAATTCAACACTTTACTTGAAAGGGATCGGTAAACAAGCCTTACTGGCTTATTGAAATTACGCTCACTGTTACATAAATACATTTGTGTAGACATAAAAATTTCAAGGTTTTAAATAACTTAGGCTATAGTAGGAAACGTGAATATATGAGAGTTGGAGACCAAACTAGAAACAGGCATTATATATACTCTTTTTAAATAAAGTGATGTATACTCGTGTCGCCTAAATATCAGCAATGTCAAATAACCAATCGTATTGCATTAAAGTTATTATCAACAAAAAACACACCTGTAAGTAAGAGTGTTCATACGATAGGGGCGAATATATATTGAAAAACAAACGGAACTTCAGTCTTGATTTCCACATAGTCAACTTTTTAGGGTGCTTAATACAAGTTTTCATAAGGTGAGACAAAAAATGCATTAATGCAACAGCTTGAAAAACATAACAAACTGGAAGAACATGAATGATTTAAGAAAGAGGGAAACACTATTTTATTCATGGAGCTTTTACTCCTTGTTCCGGTCAAACTGAACTGATTCAATTATGTTAGTGTGAGTTGTTTGGATGTTGTTGACTTTATTTGTGATGTAGCATTTTGGACACTTGTCCAGTGGAAGTCAGCTTGGCTCTTCATAACAAGCAGGAAATTGAGTTAGTTTGCTGTCTCCTAGCATGTACGCCCCCGATCCCAGCAAATCCGGAGACTGTAGAGAACTTTACAAAAGCTGCAGTCAAAGGTATCTTCCAGGTGAAGAAATATATAGACATTGTGAAGAGACATTATATGTTCTGACATGTGAGTAGGGATAAACTTAACATAAAAATGCCCCTTTTCGTACACTTACAAATACTGTATTTATATGTCTGTAACTCTCCTATGGAGGAATAAAGAATATATGTATATACCAAAGCCTGAACAGCGCCATACTACGCTGAAACCCAAACCATAAACTCTTATTTACTGTTCGTCAACGTGACAGGCGAACAATTTCACCTTTTATCAGCCCAAAGGAGCTAATGGTTGTTGATCATATTGAAGCAGCTATGGTCTTGGTGACAATGTTGTAGCAACAGCCATGCAAATGACAAGGTGAGAAATTGCTTAGGAAACAGAATTAAAACAGTCGAAGAACTGGTCGGTTGTATTTTCATGTCAACTTATAACGGCAGAACCATCGTCTAGTTATACATAACATGGCGGGAGTGTTTGATAGTCTGAAGGGTGCCGGTGCCATTGGCATCGTTGTTCTTGTTCTTGCTCTTTTAGGGAACATATGTAACTGGATAGCCTTTACTACCACAGCATGGGCTCGTCAATTTACAAATACAAATAAGGAGACTTTCACTGGCAACGGGCTGTGGAGAATATGTGGAACAGGCACAGATACCGGCTTCGGTAAAGTTGTATCTGCATGCACCCAGATAGACGGAACCAATCTCGGTAAAGTATATTATCCTTTTATCAAACAACATTCTATTATAGATATATATATTATATTTGATTAGAGTTTTTTCTATTTATGGGGTGATTTATGGGGGAATATGTTCGGACAATGACCATAGCTATGCTAATAGTAAAACCCGGGAAACAAGGATGCACCAAGAACATAGCTGCTTCAATATGTTCAAAAAACATTGGCTCTTTGGACACATTAATTATAACGTCGTTCGCCTGTCACGCCGAAGATCAGTAGGTAAGAGTTTCTGGTTTGGGTTTCAGCGTATTATGGCGCTGTTCAGGCTTTGGTATCAATTGGATTTCTGGGACTCAACGCAATGTGCCTCATCATCATCCTCAAGATGTTCACAAAGCAGTGTGCCGACGTCTCCGACATCGATAAAGTCAACGGCATTCAAGCTATCGTTACAGGTATGGCGTCAAACAACTCACACTAACATTATTGATTCAGTTCGGTTTGACCTGTACAAGAAGTAAACAATACCTGTAGACATTTGTACTGTCCTCTTTCCCATATCATTCATGTTTGCAATGTTCATCAATATTTTGCATTGATGCATTTTTTGTGTTACCTCATGATAAAACGTTGACCTAATTATGTGGAAACATCGTATGAACACTATCAATTCCCAGGTGTGTTTTTGTTTTTTGTTTTAAGACAATACGATTTGATAACTGACAATTGCTGATATTTAAGTGACACGAGCAGACATCACTATATTTGAAATGAGTATAATGCATGTTTCTAGTTAAGCCTCCTACACTAACGTATTTATCTTTCATACCATAGCCTAAATTATTTTGTGTCTACACAAATGTAATTATGTAACAAGGAGCGTAAATTGAATAAGCCAGTAAGGGCTGTTTACAAATCCCTTTTATTTCCAGGTGTTCTTTACTTGATCGGCATCATAATATTCGGTGCGGAATACGGTAATGGAGGCAAACTACGTGCTGCCATCGGTGGCACTGTCGTGGACGGCGACCTGGGCTACTCATTCATCTTGGCTGTGTTCGCCATGGTGTTGGAGATCGTTGTCGGCGTTGTTCTGCTTGTGACCGGCCTCAAAGGTGGATCTGTGGCCGCCAAATAGTAACCACTGTATAAAGTCAGGGGGACTGGAGAATATTCTGTTGTGTCGTGGAAGGATGAAGTTGACACAACAAATGTTGTCAAGTCAAGTTCCCCTGCAGGAAGTACTCCCACCCTGTGACGAGGCTTCACTTTGAACTTCTTATCTTGCCTTCTTTACAATACCATTGTGATGGTGATTTCCTTATATCCCCTTGAACAATGCTTGTCATATACAATATCACGGCCGAATGTCTTGAATGAGATGTCAGCTACTATGACCGGAACTATGGAAACCAGGCTTAAACTATTTTTCACCTGAAGTCTCACTTCAATGAAGATGGGTATTATGTAAATTGTTTATTTTCGGAAAATAAAAGAAATGAATCAAAGTGTTTTTACAATTTTACAATTAGTTTTATCGCTTCTATTCCTTAGACGTTAATATTAACAATATCACTAAATGACTATACCACACCACACCACACCACACCACACCACACCACACCACACCACACCACACCTACGCTACACCTACGCTACACCACACCACACCACACCACACCACACCACACCACACCACACCACATACCGCGAAGAGGGTTAGAATTGGTCTTTAGCAAACCATGCTTGCCGTAAAAGCGATCATGCCATAAAAGGCGACCAACGGCATCGGATGGACAGGTTCGCACACTTGGTTGATGCATGTCATCGTATCCCAATAGCGTGGATGGATGCTCATGATGTTAATCACTGGATTGTCTGGTCCAAACTTGATTATTTACAGAACGCCGTCATGTTACTGAAATATTGCGGCGTTACACAATAAACAAACAAACACCATACAAAGCGATATTAACCCAGTTGTGCTCTTTCAATGCTCTGAGATTGTAATAACCATAACATAGCAGACACAATACACTCTCTCTCTTCGACCTCGAACACCTTCAGAACTGGTGACGTATACGTACACACAGAGCATACTATGTTCCATAGCGTGAACGTTTGATTGAGATGTATTGTTGTCTAGTCTCCCATGTTAGTGTTCCTGTCATGAATAATGTGTACTGTGGAAGTATATAAAATATAAATACTTCTTGTTGTCAAGCCGGCTATTCTCAACCAAATACCTATAGTATCCGTACTGCCACATCACAAACAATGATGTAATTTCGAAAACACAGCTTGCTGTCAAATATTGTGCTGAATAATGTGATTTGTTTTTGTTATCATGTATACGGTAATCGTTTGAGCCATAGATACAAATGAATGTTTGAGCACAAATAACCTTACAAAACATTGATTGGCGATTGATTCTCAACCATTTCCTTACATTATTCGAGGTTTCCACCCAACGTGTCAAAATTTCAGTTTGGTACCGCTTTCTTGCTCGTCAGTTTTAGCTGTTGGATAATAGGTATCATTTGTACGAGTCAATCAACTTTATTTCGTAATTCAGGCCACATTGCCCATACTGCAGATGAAAGATGAATCATATATTAAAGTCACATGCCCAGCGTGGCACATACCCATCCTATTTTGGATATGTCACCTAAATATAGACCTATCCAACTTAGAACATTAATAGAACTTAAGAAAAGACAATTGCAAACGTAATACTAACTTTATGATATTTCTGTAATGAGACAAGCAAACTATTTTTCAACAGAGTCTATTTCTTACGTACAAAAAGTGCATTGCATTCATCCTCTACTAAATGAAGGTCACTGTCTTCACATGCAGAGTCTGTTTACGGTATTAAATGTTGGTTTTTCACAAAATAATGTTGACTCGAAAGTTGTTTAGAGACTTTCGAAGTTTACACATTGCTCAAACAAATCGTTTGTCTCTGAGTACAGTTATATAAAACTTAGGTTGCAGAAAGGATTAGATATTCACTACAAAGGTAGAAACCTCCAAACTTTGGTACTATGTTTGGAAATAAATATCTGTTAAACGTCATCTTCATGCAATGGCCTATCCTCTTATAATTTAAGCAGAACGTAACTTTGGAAGGGGTATCGACTTGCATTCAATCGAAGAAGCTTAATCCAGTACTTCCTTGCCCTTGTTGGCGTGTTGATAAACATACAATGACCATCAGTTTCACCCAGAACATCTTTTTGCTGAAGATTGCTGAATCATTACCCACTCCCCCCAAAAAGTTTACATTAGCATACTTGTATCTTTTCAAATGGGGCATGATATTTAATACCCCACACTTCAAAACCATACATCAATATTCGAGAGATTTTAGTACTGTCTACAATTTCCTTTTCCAATAACATGAAGAGTAATTAAACTTTTTCAAGAATTTCGGGGAAACTATAATTTATTCGAAAACATCCAAGCTGTCTGAGTGTAGTATTCATGTATAGTATGGTATCTCAATGGGCTAGGACTATAAATGCGTCAGTAGTCGAAACAGCTAATTCATAGAATAGTACTTTTTTCAGTCATTGTCCGTAGATATATTTAGATAATTATATCTACAATTACAGGTTGCAAAGTTGTGCTTACTACAATATTCAAAGGATGTTTGACGATACATTTCGTGCAGAAAACACAATAGAAATCTACAAAGAGAATATATTTTAAATATTTGGGACAACAGAGAGCATGGAATTTGGCGCTTTTCTATATGCGACCGTGACGTCATATCTTTTGCGTCACAGTGAGAGATATGACGTCATACTGGTGACGTGCGGTGGAGAACGAAAGCTTTGCAAAGCTTGCTTAGTTATCTTTAGGGGTAACTTATGTTAGCTGACCAAGTTGGCGTGCTCATATGCTTTCAATGCCTGTTATATGTTCGAGGGAAGTATTACATAGGCACGTCGTACTGTAAACAAACTGCTTGCGCATATACAGCGCGATATTTTGTTTACAGGCTGTTGTCGGTAATTCCGTAATTTAACCCACTCAAAATACTGGACTCAAACCATACCGCTTCTCTAAATAAAGATGCTAACACCAAAGAGTTTTTTTGATCATGGTAGAATAGAGATAAACACCTTAATATCTTGAAGATTTATGTACGCGTTGCTGTGTACGGGATCATTTCATGAATGTTCCTATATAAGTACAATTATAGGGAACGCGACGTTTAATCCCATTTCACCGCACCTTACCTTATTTTAAATCAATATCAATGCGATCGTAAAGACCATTTTTTAATCTTTTTGTAATGTTTGTTTATAAATCCATTCACATAGTATGAAAACAAGTTGGCAGGTTGAGACAAGATTTAGAGACGTCTCCATTTGAAATATGTATTGTCAGTCACATGATGACAAATATACTCGAATAACTTGAAGGTTTATGTATGCGTCGCTGTGTTCGAGATCATTTTTTGTTGCGTTATCGACCAATCATGTTACAATATGTTGTAGCAACAGATTTTTTTGCTTAGACAACAGACTTAAAACAGTCGAAGAACTGGTCGGTTGTCATTTCATGTAAACTTATAACGGCAGAACCTTCGTCTCCTTACACATAATATGGCGGGAGTGTTTGAGAGTCTGAAGGGTGCCGGTGCCATTGGCATCGTTGTTTTCGTTCTTGCTCTTATAGGGAACATTTGTAATTGGATAGCCTTTACTACCGCAGCATGGGCTCGTAAATTTACAAATACAAATAAGGAGACTTTCACTGGCTACGGGCTGTGGAGAATGTGTGGAACAGGCACCGATAGTGTTGTATCTGCATGCGCCCAGATTGACGGAACCAATCTCGGTAAAGTATATTATCCTTTTATTAAACAACATTCTATTATATAGATATATGTTATATTTGATTAGAGTTTTTCTATTTATGGGGTGATGTATGGTGGTAAATGTTCGGACAATGACAATAGCTATGCTATAATAGTAAAACCCGGGAAACAAAGATACATGTATCGTGAAACCAAGCCCATAGCTGCTTCAATATGTTCAAAAAACATTGGCCCCTTTGGGCAGATTAATGATAAATCGTGTCGCCTGTCACGCCGAAGATCAGGAGGTAATGGTTTATGGTTTGGGTTTCAGCGTATTATGGCGCTGTTCAGGCTTTGGTATCAATTGGATTTCTGGGACTCAACGCAATGTGCCTCATCATCATCCTCAAGATGTTCACAAGCAAGTGTGCCGACGTCTCCGACATCGATAAAGTCAACGGCATCCAAGCTATCGTTACAGGTATGGCGTCAAACAACTCACACTAACATTATTGATTCAGTTCAGTTTGACCTGAACAAGAAGTAAAAGAAACATGAAGAAAATTGTTTTAACCTCTTTCCCATATTATTCATCTTTTTCCCGTTGGTAATGTTTATCAATAAATTGCACTGATGCATTTTTGTCAGCTTATAACAATTTGTATTTAGTACCAAAACATATTGACATAATTATGTGGAAACTCAGGCTGAAGTTACGTTTGTGTTTCAATATATATACTCGTCCCGGTCGTATGAACACTGTAACAGGTATATTTATGTTAATAATAATTTTAAAACTATACGAATGGTTAACTGACAATTGCTGATAATTAGGTTGCATGTGTACACATCACTTTATTTAAAATGAGTATAATGTCTGTTTCTAGTTTAGACTCCTAAACTAACGTGTTATTGTTTCATACCATAGCTTAAATTATTTAAAACCTTGAAGTTTTTACGTCTACACAAATGTATTTATGTAACAGGGAGTGTAATTTGAATAAGCCAGTAAGGCCTGTTTACAATCCCTTTCAAGTAAAGTTGAATAAAATATGTTTAAACTGTATCATTTCCAGGTGTTCTTTACTTGATCGGCATCATTATATTCGGTGCGGAATACGGCAATGGAGACAAACTTCGCAATACATCCATTGCCGTGGATGGCGACCTGGGCTACTCATTCGTCTTTGCTGTGTTCGCCATGTTGTTGGAGATCGTTGTAGGCGTTGTTCTGCTTGTGACCGGCCTCAAAGGTGGATCTGTGGCCGCCAAATAGTAACCACTGTATAAAAGTCAGGTGGGATGGGAGCATGTTCTGCTGTGTTGTGGAAGGATGAAGTCGACACAACAAATGTTGTCAAGTCAAGTTCCCCTGCAGGAAGTACTCCCACCCTGTGACGAGGCTTCACTTTATACTTCTTATCTTGCCTTCTTTACAATACCATTGTGATGGCGATTTCCTTATATCCCCTTGAACAATGCTTGTCATATACAATATCCCTGTCGAATTTCTTGTATGAGATGTCAGCTACTATGACTGGAACTATACAAACCAGGCTTAAACTATTTCTGATAACAAATCTCAGCTTAATGTAGATGGATATTATGCAAACTCAACTATTTATCTAAAAATAATTGAAACCATCAAAATATTTGAAAGGGGGTCACTATTTTGAAATGAAAGTCATTTTAATTTATTTTTAATTTAGACCTTTGGCTGTCATTAAATGTGTAATGATATTTGTACTAGGTTGTGTTCGTATAGCTGACAAATGATCGTTGCTCTCTTTATCAGCTCATGGCAAACCATACACCTGGTGTCCTCACTATTTGATATTGGTTCATAAATATATGCTTTGGATATTGTCGGAATCGTATATTGATTCTAGATTGCTTATGATTATGGAAATAGTTTTGTATCTTTTATTTCTTAGACGTAATATTAATTTGTACCTCCGTGAATATAGTTCATATAAATAATTTATTTTACAGTCTCTTTTAGTGTTTGTCATAATTTGAAAGTAAATACAAGCTGAAGGTATGAACATGCATTGGCTTTGCGCTGCACTACATTACACTACATTACACTAAACCTCCTCTCCACTCCCCACCACGCCCCGCCCGACCCCACCCCACTGCACTCTACTCCAGTTATCTTACGTTGTATTATCTCTCTCTTTGTCTGTCGCGACTCCCTACCCCCCCCCCCCCCCCCCTTCCACACACACGCGCGCACGCACACACACACACACACACACACATTTTTCTCTTTCAGTCCCAACGTTGTATAGATATTATATTTCATTACACCTTAGTACGGAAAGTGTATTTGTTATTTGAATATGTTTTTAACGACATGTGTTATGACAACAGAGCAATGCTTACACATGACAGCCGAAACAAGCCCCACCTTCAACCTGTGTATAACACCTGGTCTACCTCATACTGGGTGTGTGCGTCTGGCAATGAAACTAGGCAGGTCGCGAAGACTGAGTAGAATATAATAGCCTCCTCTTTTGAGAAAAGCTGTCAGTGATATGCAGTTATATTGTGAATGGCACACGAATGTCTGTGTCAGGATTGTGCGTTCAGTCACCATGACATGGGTCGTCAAAACACGCCACATAACCTTGTCCTATCTCGCGGGGAGCGGTCAGTCCGATGATCATATTAAACATCTTCCTCTCGTGGTGGTGGGGGTAGGGGGTGAGGGGGGGGGGGGGGGGGGGGCAGTTGATTCTGCACGCGATTGTGCATTTAACTTTCCTTGTCATCGATCGACTTCACGTCCAGTTACATATGTGCACTTACACATTTACTCGTCGATTAACGCTTAAACTACCGCGGCAAGCATCGGAGTTTTAAAACATGTGTCAACTCGTGTTGATATTTTTCATATCAAAATATATTCTTTCAATCCTTCGTTAAAGTCCGCAACGACAGTTTCCCGACGAGCGACTGGTGTTAAATTGCAAAGCTGGCTCTTTCTTATTTACCATAGTCCGTTTGGCTACAAATGAGAACGATGAATTGCAAAATAACTCAAAATAGGGAAAAGTCTATTAAATGTAAGAAAAAACAAGTCAGACGTGCAGTTGTTAAACTGCATTCAGAAAATAGGTACCTGTCACTGAGACCTCAAAAGACTGGAATATACTGTGGCATGGTGTCAGTGTGATCCAGGACACCCCTCAAACTTATATAAGTACCCTCTTTTTACCAAGATGTCAAAGACCGTCATACGTGAGTGAGTGAGTTGGTTTAATGCCGCTTTTAACAGTATTCCAGTTATCTCGCGGCGTGTCAGCTTAATGTGGGAGGAAAGCCCGAAGTGATGCAGGTCTCAGACGTTTAACACTTCGGTGAAACCCACGAACACGGGTATGGTGCTGACAAACTAGAAACATAATCGGGGCGAACCGGGATTCGAACCCACAATCATAGGTTTCTGGCGTGCCCAAGGGACGCAACTCTGCACAGCGAATCTCGGCGCCTTAGACGACTGGGCCACCCGTGCCCCCAAGATCGGCATACGACTCGTGCTCAAAAGGTATTTTATCGTGGTTGCAATATACATGGGCGTTCGGTAAGCTTTTTATGGTAGACATGTGGAGGACATTTCCAATTTTGGTACATCAGTTGGGGCGGTGGGGTGACCTAGTGGTTAAAGCGTTCGCACGTCACGCCGAAGGCTCGGGTTCGATTCCCCTCATGGATACAAAGTGTGAAGCCCATTTCTAATGATCCCCACCTTGATATTGCTAGAATATTGCTAAAAGCGGCTTAAAACCATACTCACTCACTCACTGGTACATCCGGTACAAAAATGTCCGATTCAGTTCCCTATTTTGACTTGTACCATATGTCCCCCTGGGTTTTTTTTCAGGTGATCAATTGACTTGCCTTTGAAAGTGTTTGTGTTGGATGCCACCGGTGAGTCAGGATACGCTCATCTTTTGGCGAACACTGGTGTCATCACTATTTGATAGTGGTTCATGCTTATGACACAGTCGGAATCTACAGTTGACTCTGCTTTTTGGGGAGATTTCTTATGTCTATTGAAACGGTTTTGAAGGCTTTATTATCAGTATAAAATCAAACTTCAACCCGAAGAACTTATACCTGGTAAAGGTTCTTGTAATGCAATATCTGTTGATTCCTTGGACGGTAAACTGTATTTCAACACGGCTTCATTCAAGCTGTGCGAACTCGCTGATAAGCAAGCTCTGGAGAGCAGCATTGAATATTATTATTATTTTTATAATTAAAAACTGAGTTCATTTTTTTATGAACTGGGAAAAACGTTAGTCAAGTAACCGACCGCCTAACGGGATTACTCTGGGCTCACTTATACCTGTCGACATTTACTCGTCGATTAACGGCAAGCATCGGAGTTTTAAACATTTGTCAACTCGTATTTTTTATATTAAAATATATTCTTTCAATCCTTCGTTAAAGTCCACAACGACAGTTTCCCGAGGAGCGACTGGTATTAAATTGCAAAGCTGGCTCTTTCTTATTTACCATCACAGTCCGTTTGGCTACAAATGAGAACGATGAATTGCCAAACAACTCAAAATAGGGAATAGTCTACTAAATGTAAGAAAAAACAAGTCAGACGTGCAGTTGTTAAACTGCATACAGAAAACAGGTACATGTCAATAAGACTTAAAGAAATACCTTAAAGGGTACATGATTAAATTGTTACAAAATACAAGTTATGGCAACTTGATGTTGAAAAGCTAGAAAATGAATTCCTTTGACGCGAAACTGTCAACGAGATAGGGTCAAGATACTGGTCATGTGCTGGACTTCAGCAAGCAACAGCCCCACCTATATATTTGTGACCATCACCAGTGACACAAGCAATTCCGACGACCATGGCTGTGACATGAGAGTCAGAATGCGATAAAAACAATTCATGAGACGACCCCTCTTATGCTGTTACCTCCTGTGCCGTTGCGTAGCGCGTACAGTACGAGAATCGCGCTGTTCCTCTTACCGTTATTATCCCCTCCGTTCAAGATGTCAAAGTGAACACATAACAACATGATAGTTTCTTAGACAACTTGTTCCAGTGATGGGAATAAAATGAACAAACAGCAGATATTGTTATATATAGAGTATAGAGATATATAGAGTATTCATTGCCGTGTACGGTATCGACATATTAAAGATTATTCCCGATTTTGAGTTATTTTGCAATTCATCGATCTCATTCGATGCCAAATGAGCTGTAATGTTTATGAAGTATTTTGTTGATGCAAAGCATGTTGCTATAGTCATGACCACCTCATTGTCACGTGCGCTTTCATAAGCACACATGTTATGGTACTTAGGTCATTAAATCCTACACATATTTGTTACTAGAATGTCAAGACCATGCCCAAGCCTAGGCTAGATTAAAACAAGAATTGCAGTTAGATCCGCTATCTGTCATAGATCTCCTAAAGCCAAGAGATGCAATAGCGAAGGCCAAACTGACTCTATTTCTGAGAGATGGACAGCTACTCGAACGTATATAAACAGAGCAGCCAAGGATAAAAATGAAATCATATCAATAAAAGAAAACAGAAATCATATCAATACAAAAACAGAAATTATGTGAATACCAAACTCACAATAAATATGTGTACCCTAACCACACACAGGAGTCCCAAAGAGGGACAGGTCTGCCGAAATTGCTCAGGCAGAAGGCGACCTCTTAAACACTTAATGCAACAACAACAACGCACATATTCTCAAGTCAAACACACAGTGTATGAACGTTCTTTGGCCACCTTGCAACCATTGTCATACTGGATCGAAAACGTATGAACCCAAGTACAAGACACGAAAAATTCATTTCAATCGATTATATTCCTTCTATAGAAACCCCTCTGCAACCCATAACAGTCACGCATTTGAAGCACAGAGCGGGTTTTCGGTTCTTTCATACAAACAGTTACCCGCACAAAAGAATTTGCTCAAAAGACTCGCACTGACATCTTAATATTGCAGTTGTGTACAGTTATTATGATATGACGGGTGTTATAGGCTACAAAAAGCTGCATAGAACCTTTGTGTTGAATTCCTGTCAAGGCCAATAAGACATTCAACACATCCTTAATGGAATACCTATAACAGTAACTAATGCCCCGATATTTTGGAGACGGACATACAGAGGGTGTTCATATTGATATGATACAGTTGGGGTTGGTATGTTATCTGATATAGCTGTCTAAGTGAGCCATGACAGGTGTAGTGGAAAGTTTGAAGGCGGCTCCCCTGCTGAAACGGATCATCTTTATTCTGGTTCTTGTGACTCAGTTTTTTAACTGGTTGTCTTTTACCACCCCTGCTTGGGCCCGACGCTTCACGACACTGTCCGGGAACGGCGATGACCACATCGGCTACGGCTTGTGGAGAAGCTGTTCAAACGTGGGAACAGCAGTCAATCCGATCCCAAATTGCTTTCCATTAGATGGCGCCAATCTGGGTAAGTGATCCCAGTATGCACATTCACATTTCCAAGTTGTCTCAAAATAATTACTAGGTGCATACTCGTTATATTTAATCCTACAACAAACTTGTACCCAATATAAGTAATTTCCAACAAGTATTATCTTGTACACTCGAAATCAGTTACATGACTGAGTGAGTTAAGATAACCGTCACATCGGCAATATTTCAGCCATGTCGTGACGAGACAAAATTTGACATTAACAATATATATTTAAACTTTATAAAATTCTTTCGACGAAGGACAGTATAAAACTAGAATATCACAGATTTACGTACAACTAGTCAGTTACATGATCATTCGGTTGAATCTTAATTTGCACGTTGGAGTAATATCCCTCTCAACTTGTCATGAACCATTTAATACGAATTCGATAACGTTTTAATTTGATCAGAATTTGACCCTAAAATCATCGATCTTAAATAAATTTTCATTATCGATATGCATTATATATGCATGTGCTCATACATATTATTGACATTGAAATGTAATAAAACGGTACCGGTGACATCTATTTACATGTAAATTGGAGATCATGTTGCTTTATTCTGGTATTCTATTGCTAAATAATTAAGCACGCAAATAACAGCTTCAACAATGGCGTCGTTGAAAAGACGGAAGTAAGACGGCGAGGGTGTAACGATGCCATTCACGTAGATGCTGGAATCAACTATATGCATTACGGTCCCCATGGCGACATGCATATTGTCAATGGCTTTTGTTGTTACCGAATATTTACCTCTTTGGGAATAACCATGACCGTGCAGTACTTTGGCATGAGCTCTTTAATGACAGAACTTGATTAGTGTGTGCATAGCCCGCTATAGTGTCGTTGGTGGGAGGGTATTCAATTAAAATACATCACGTTGAAAGAGAGGTGAAATGGGGTTTAACGTCGCGTCCAAGATTATTGCACTTATATAGCGACGTGCATGTACGTGTGTGTGTTTGTGTGCCTGCTTGTACTAGTCCGGACTGATGCCGATTTATAGTGCTAGCTCACTGAGATACCATGCCGCAGTTTAACATGAATACCCCACTCAGACACAGTATACTGACTCAGAGCCGACCAGTCCTTGTTTTAGCCCCTTAATGGCGAGCGCCAGACAGGGTGACAACAAGTACCATCTTTTAACGTCTTTTGGTATGACGCGGCCGGGGATCGAACCCCGAACCTTCCGCTCTCCGGGCGGACGCTCTACCACTAGACCACGGAGGCGGTCACATCACGTTGAAAGAGACAGATGTCGTGTGGAGGCGGAGCGACAGTACTGACAAAACATGGCTCATCCAAATTGAGACTTTTAACCTCTCGGCGTTGTTTGATTTACGATTGGGTATTGGGCCCAAGTGTAAAGTATTATTTAAAATGATTTCACAGACTTAAACGCTTAAGATGATGAATGAAGACAGCGCTGAATGATGGGTTTCATGTTTTAAATGTGATGTTTGGTAAAGATCCTGGTACCCTTATCAAGCAAGTGACTGAAATAATATTAAACATCTGTACGGAAAAGTCACATTTGAAAAACTGAAAAATTGCATTTGAAATTCATGCATCAGGTGTCAATTGACACTACGTCTTAGGACCGCCTCCGTGGTCTTGTGTTAGAGCGTCCGCCCGGAGAGCGGAAGGTTCGGGGTTCGATCCCTGGCCGCGTCATACCAAAAGACGTTAAAAGATGGTACTTGTTGTTACCCTGTCTGGCGCTCGGCATTAAGGGGTTCAATCAAGGACTGGTCGGCTCGGAGTCAGTATACTGTGTCTGAGTGGGGTATTCATGTTAAACTGCGGCATGGTATCTCAGTGAGCTAGCACTATAAATCGGCATCAGTCCGGACTAGTACAAGCAGCCACACACACACACACACACACACACACACACACACACACACACACACACACACACACGTGCATGCACGTCGCTATATAAGTGCAATAATCTTGGACGCGACGTTAAACCCAATTTCACCTCACCTCACCTCACTACGTCTTAGTACCGCTCAATTATATTGCATGATGCATAAGACTGCCATTTTCTTAAGTTCGTTTGTAAGATTGCCTTCATGAGTAGTCGTTCAGGCCATTTTGGCTCATATTCACCATTCATGGCGAAAGATCATATCACTGATCGTTTTTATTTCTTATACTTGCAAGCGTACTTTTGATACAAACGTATGGCTAAGGTGAGGTGAAATGGTGTTTAACGTCGCGTCCAAGATTATTGCACTTATATAGCGACGTGCATGTACGTGTGTGCGTGTGTGTGTGTGTGTGGCTGCTTGCACTAGTCCGGACTGATGCTGATTTATAGTGCTAGCTCACTGAGATACCATGCCGCAGTTTAACATGAATACCCCACTCAGACACAGTATACTGACTCCGAGCCGACCAGTCCTTGTTTGAACCCCTTAATGCCGAGCGCCAGACAGGGTCACAACAAGTACCATCTTTTAACGCTTTTTGGTATGACGCGGTAGGGGATCGAACCCCGGATCTTCCGCCCTCCGGGCGGTAGGGCTAAGAGAAAATTAATATCAATTTACCTTCATCTCTTATAAGAACAGGGGGCACGGATGGTCAAGTAGTCTAAGGCGCCGCGATTCGCTGTGCAGATTGGGTCCCTTGGGCAAGCCAGAAACCTATGATTGTGGGTTCGAATCCCGGTTCGCCCCGATTGTTTCTAGGTTTGTCAGCACCATACCCGTGCTCGTGGGTTTCACCGAAAGTGTTAAACGTCTGAGACCTGCATCACTTCGGGCTTTCCTCCCACTTTAAGCTGAAACGCCGTCATATAACTGGAATAGTGTTACAAGCGGTGTTAAACCCAACTCACTCACTCACACACTCTTATAAGAACAAATACTTGCTCTTGCTCATTAGATTAAACCTTTAAAAACAGTTCTTTCATAACAAAATATAAAAGGTTTCGCTCAGTTAATAATTACGTTATGCGGGGACAAGCATGTACGTCTAAGGCGCCTTATCTTGCGCTGCAGAATTACGTCCCTTAGGCGTGCCAGAAAGCTATGATCATGTGTTGGAATATCAAATTCACCTTATTAGGCTTTTCAGTGTCGGTGTTCTTGTGGGTTTCACCAACGTGGTAGCGTCTAAGATCTGCATCACTTCGGCTTCCCTCCCACATTAAACTGTCCAGCTGTAATACAACTGAAATATTGTTCAAGCGGCGTTAAACCATGTCACTCACTCACTTACGTAACGCTAATATTGGCACTATAGGGTCATCACACCTTGTCCTTTTGTAAACTGCATCCTCTATGTCAGGGATGGATAATATAACATCGTCATTGGTCACAATTTCCAAGAAAGGGCAACCCAAACATGGATGTTATTTTGTTTGCTGAAATATATTGTCAATTACAGTAAACTACGGTTATAACGAACTCAAAGGGGCCACAAATGTTAGTTCGTTATAACCGTAGTTCGTTATAAGTATATATACAGGATAAACACAGAAAATGCCCGGGCCCAAAAAATAGTACGTTATATCCGTCAGTCCGTTATAAGAGTGTTCGTTATAAACGTAGCTTACTGTAGTCGAAACACTTATCCACAGTCCACTAATTTGTTTAAGATCCTACATTTAAACTCGCAACATGAAATGTATGCATATGTATTTCAATATGTATGTTTCAGCCCACTATGGCACAGTTCAAGCGTTTGCTACTATCGGGTTCATGGGAGTCAACATCCTCTTTCTTGTTACTGTGCTACAGATGTTCACGTCGTTCTGTAAAAAGGTCACTGACATCAACGAGGTGAACGCCGTCCAAGCCATCGTCACAGGTGAGGGTATATCTTTCTTCTTTTTTTAAATGTTGCTTTGTAGTAGTGTATGCTTACAAATGAGATGTTGATCAGTGCTGACTGAATGTTGTACCGATTTGTTGAACCATCGAAACACAAAAATTGACGTGGGGGTTAATTGGGTAAAGCGTGTGCTCGTCACGTCGAAGACTTGGATTTGATTTTTCAACATCGCTTACACTCAACGTCAATGGTTCACAGATTTGTATATTACACTTTCATTCATTTCCCGTGAATACATACGGCCGTTTAGATGTACATTTTTGACGCTTGTCTATTTGAAGTTAGCTTATGAAATGTGGCCGTTTAAAACTCACGGAAGTGATCTCGGCTATGTGCACGACCTTTTTACGAACCTTACAATTGTTTGTTTGTTTGTTTGTTTGTTTGTTTATTTGCTGTTTGACGCCGCACTAACAATATTCCAACTATATGACGGCGTTCTGCAAATAATCAAATCCAGACAATCCAGTGATTGACATAATGAGCATAGATCCACGCAATTGGGATATGATGACATGCATGAACCAAGTCAGCGAGCCTGACCACCCGATCCCGTTAGTCGTCTGATATTGAAGCAATGTAAGAAGACGATAGCCTCAAGGCTATTACAAAACTTACTCTAGAAATATTGACTTTTCGTGTGGTGTAAGCTGAGCGCTTATTGATCTGAGCAGGGGCTGCTTTCTCTCTCGTCATTGGTTACAAATAGCCACTACACTGCAAATCGGGTGATGGAGGAATGTACTGTTCATAAAATGAGGGGGGCACGGGTGGCCCAGTCGTCTAAGGCGCCGCGATTCGCTGTGCAGAGTTGCGTCCCTTGGGCAAGCCAGAAACCTATGAATGTGGGTTCGAATCCCGGTTCGCCCCGATTATGTTTCTAGGTTTGTCAGCACCATACCCGTGCTCGTGGGTTTCACCGAAGTGGTAAACGTCTGAGACCTGCATCATTTCTGGCTTTTCTCCGACATTAAGCTGACACGCCGGGATATAACTGGAATACTGTTAAAAGCGGCGTTGAACCAAACTCACTCATTCACTCACTCACTCACTCACTCACTCACTCACTCACTCACTCACTCACTCACTAACTCACTCACTCACTCACTCACTCATAAAATTAATTGAAGTATGGGCGATGGGGTACAATGCACATATGCATGACCTTGGTAATGCAATTAATGAGTTTAATTCTTTGTCCATTCACTTAATTCACTCCGAGATCAAACTTTTTAATTTTGTTACAGGAATAATATACTTTATCGGTCTCATCATCTATGGTGCTGTGTACGGCAGTGGCGAGAGGCTGACGTATACCATAGGCAACCAGTCCAGAAAAGGAGACCTGAGTTATTCCTACGTCTTCGCCTTTTTCACAATGATCCTGCAGATTGTGTTGGGAGTCTTGTTGCTCCTAACAGGAGGCAAACTGTGCAAAGTGCCAGCTCTGCTGATAAAAGAGGATGAGAAACCGAAAAAGAAATCAAAGAAGAGGAAAGGAAATAGTACAGCCCCTTCCTCAACTCAACCCGAGACAAAAGGCGAAGGTTCACCCGCCTGATCTGAATTGAATTCGTCTTGACACTCTGACTCCAACCGCTCAACACTCGTGACTCCAACCCTGATCCCTATTACTCTAACCGCCTGAACACATGTGACTCCAACCATGACCCTGTTACTCTAACCGCCTGAACACATGTGACTCCAACCATGACCCTGTTACTCTAACCGCCTGGATATCAGTGACTCCAACCATGACCCTGTTACTCTAACCGCCTGGACATCAGTGACTCCAACCATGACCCTGTTACTCTAACCGCCTGGACATCAGTGACTCCAACCATGACCCTGTTACTCTAACCGCCTGGACATCAGTGACTCCAACCATGACCCCTGTTACTCTAACCGCCTGAACACATGTGACTCAAACCTCCTCGGCGTTGCTGACTAAAACCTCAACAAAAATGGATTCAGACGCATAGAGAATAGTGTCCCCTACATCTTCCTCGATTCCTTTGACTTTAACCGCCTAGTGACGCCGGACTTCTCGCAAAAGTGACTCCAACCACCTGGAGTTTATTGACTCCAATGCCCCTGACATAGTTTTGGTCCTCCGTCGGGAGTGCATACACGTATTCTGTTGCATGTTTTGTCTCCCAGAGTAAGGACTAAACTGAAGGTCATACGAGACTTGCATAGAAACGTTATTTCTGTGCTGTGTGATGTGCTTACTGCTGTGCGGCGCCAGGCAACAAAGAAACACCTACTTTTCTGTGCACATTTGTGAGTGGCGGCAGGGCAGTACCCTTTTCGCAAACACCAGGGCCCACTTGTACAAAGCGATCTTAGCGCTAAGATGATCGTAACTCCCATACTTTTACATAGGCTTACAATAGTCGTAGCGATAAGATCGCTTTGTTCAAGTGGGCCCTGGTGTCATCACTGATTGTCAGTGATCTGTTCATATTGTCGCTATTTTGGCTTAAGGGATCTGTTTGGGCGGATAATCAAGACTTGACTTGACTTTTAATATCCATACTGTTTGTGGATGAGATATAGAATACACGTATATAATATGTCTGAAATAAATTGAATATACTCGTCTATTTTTTTGCAGAATGATATCTATAAGACTGCATTATCTTCAGGGCCTGTGAATCGTTGTCTGGTTTAAGCCACAGTCTAACTAGCAGCCTTTGTTTAGTCGAGGAACACCATGACATGGAATTCAATATTTATGAATCTGTATTGTAACACGCCTCGTTTCATCTTGATTCTACATGAATCACAAACGTAAAAGTGTTGAAATATCTCTGCAGCTTTTCTTTCGTAGGAGGGAGCACGGGTGCCTCGGTAGCATGAACTTGCGCCGCAATACGCTGTCCAGATAGTCCGCCCCCCAGTACACCAGTATAACATGATAATAAACAATCATCATAGTTGACCCCTAACAACAGTCCGGGAAATCTATCACAGGCAGACATAGCTCACTTGTTAAAGATAAAGGGTGCCGTTACAGTAGTTAATAATGTTGGCTAACAAACAGGTAGGATAATCATATCTTCACTGCATAAGGAGGACAGCCACTCCCGTCGATCATCCGTTTCTCATCGAAGAACAATTATTATACATGGTTTGTTAAACACATTATTTGATGTTGATGTTTTGATCATCTAATATAAAATTATTGTGTGTTATTATTTTCTAATATATATGTAGGTGTGTCAGACAGTTTAATCCCTGGAATCCCGTGAAAAGATATGAATAGTTGCATTTAATGTACTCATATTGCACTATAACTTCAGCCTTTCAGGAAATGTATTGGTATGTAGGCTCTCATCACCGGATCACTCAAATTACATCTAGCTATAGGGTAACACAGACAACACGCGGTGTAAATGTAAACACTTAAATAAAATTGTTTTATTACGATTGGAATGTGAATAGCCCATTCAAGGCTGTCTGGATAATATGAAGCCTCATCGGAGCATAGAATAATAAATATTTAGCCTCTGTTGAATCGATGTTCTTAATTGTTATATTGGTTACACTTCTCCATGAAGTGGTCATTCCGAAGACGACTAGTTCCACACATGTAGAATCGGCGTCTTGAAGTATTGCCTCGCACTTCACGAATGCTTTACCTACAATTCTGTGCACACATGTCCACCGTAAAGTGAACATGTTTCCATCGGCTACTTTGCACATGCGATAATACCCATTCTACATTAACCCTTAATCTCCCAGTAAACCCGAGTAAATGGGTCAGTGATAACCTCCCCTGATACAAACAACGCATTAATCTAGGTTTTCGTTAAAAGAGTCAGTCGTTGAAAAGCGCTGCAATTCTCTGTGCAGAGTTGTGTCCCTTAGAATTCCCAGATTTACCCGATTAGGATCAATGGCTTGTCAGCACCATGCTCGTTCTCTTGGGTTTCATAAAAACAGGTAAGTATGAGTATAGACGATGGGGGTACAACGCCAATCCAGCTGCTTATACAATTGCTTTGCAAAATGTTGCAAAATGTAGTAAACTGCTTCGCAATTGTATCAGCAGCTGAATGATAGCGTGTTGTACCTCATTTTTTGTAAGCTTAACATCTTGCCGCATCATGATATCAATGTATGTGGATTGGCGTCGTACCCTATCGTCTACACTACAACGTTCGACCTGTATCTCTTTGGACTTTTCTCCCACGTTAAGCTGACACGCGGTGACACTGGTATACTGTTCAACGAGGCGTAAACCACAACCCACTCGCTAATTGTGCTAGACAAGAATAAAGAACTTTTATTCAAGGGATAAAGTTAACTTTGCAAATATTACAAATTAGAAACTGATACAATATTCTGGCTGACCCTATATACAGTCGCACTCATAGCTCTCTTGATTTACAACTCGGTCATGTTTGATCAACAGTGGAGCACACAGCTATGAAGCTGCCATAAAACAATAAATTACATCCAGACGGTTGTTGTAGCAACGTCTAAACACAAACACTCGCCCACCTACCGTTACAGACCAGTCTGTTCCAGAAGTGACAGAAGAGCAGTTTTATCCCAAGTTGCTTAAATTATCTAATTGCAATCACCATGGGCATAAAGGACAGCTTCATGGGAGCATCTCTGCTGATGAAGGTGTGTTTCCTGGTACTGCTTGTGGCCCAGGTGTGTAATTACATCGCCTTCACCATTCCACAGTGGGGGAAGAGATACACGGCTCCAGTCGGAGACTTTTTCGTTGGGTACGGTTTGTGGAGGTTCTGCAGCAACTCAGAAGTGCCCTCGGCGTGTGGTCAGTTGGATGGAACCAGACTAGGTAGGTCTTTCTGCTATGTCGATAGGGGCGGTGGGATAGCCTAGTGGTTAAAGCGTTCGTTCGTCACGCCGAAGGCACTGGTTCGTTCCCCACATCGGTACAATTCGTGGAGCCCATTTCTGGTGCCGTGATATTGCTAGAATATTGCTCAAAGTGGCGTAAAACCAGAATCACTCATTCACTGGTATGTCGATAGGGATTTTTTAATATGTGTTAAACTAAGGGTCGAAAAAAGTAAATATTTATAAGATATATAATCTGACTGTCAATAGCCTTATGGTTTTGCTAGTAGGGATACAGCTTACGTTGTTATTTCAAATGGATATAAAGCTAGAGCCTTTTTCAAAATCAGCAAGTTTTTTAGGGTCGAAGGGTTCGCATTGAGGTCAGCGGTAACAGTTTTTTAGCAGTAACAATACATTTGATCGATGATAAGGAATAGGAAATCAAAGCCGTAATTGAAAAAGGCAACTTTTTTATAACCTATTAAAAACATCATTATATGAACATCACCATATATCCATCCCCATCCACCCAGTAGATATAAATACATGTGATATGGCACGGTTATGCGAAATGTGGATTGTTTCCATGTTAGGGGGCGGGGGGTGTGTGACCGAAGGCTTCATTCATCTTAGACCCGGATTTAATTCCAAACAGAAGTCTATTCTTGGATGGTGGTGTACAACGCCGCTCCCTCGGTTAGCCTGTTATGCAAGAGGATGCAATACATGTATATGAAACCCATTCTCACGACCTTTATATTTAGTGAGTGAGTGAGTGATTAGTGTTTAACGCTGCATCAGCATTCTTACAGCTATTCGCGGCGACCAAGACATTTGGAATATTGTTAATTATGAAGCGGCGTCATGTCATGTCAACGCATTGTCCAAAACAGATGACGTCATAAATTGTTCATAACGTCACAAACGGTTTTATCTGACGTCCCTCCAACAATAGATTGACTGCGCTTACGTCATCCTTGTGATCAGGAAACCATTGCTCAATATTTACTGAACTTATGGGAAATATATAAAACAACGTAGTTGCAACTCGGTTCCACGGAATGATCTTTCCCGAGAAAATTACTTTTATGAACCCATATTCAGTATGTAAAGCCCCTTTTGGGAACATTTTTGGTATCGACAATTGTAACCTAGCGTCAATATACTAGCGTGTTAATATACTCACTGTCCCGTCTTCGAGGTCTTCTGTCCCAAAAGCATTTTGGCAGATACAATTATTTTACTCACTGCAATTTGAGAATACAATTCACCAAATGCTAACCTCATTGTATGTTTTCATTCGTAAACCACATAAATTTGCTAATATTTTCGACAGGTTTGTCCTAGCACTAAACTAAATACAGGATGTATTTCTCTATTTCAGACTGGTACGCCACTGTGCAAGCACTTTCTGTGTTCGGCTTTGTAGGAATTAACGTTGCGTTCCTTGTTGTGACTCTCCAGATATTCTCCTCTGTGTGCAAGGGTGTCAGTGACCTCGGCTTCTGGAACGCCCTCTGCTGCTTTGTGACTGGTAAATACGTCCACACTGACACTGGTTACTTCAAAAGTGTTTATTTTTATGTTTAATTTATACCATATATCGTCTACAATTATACCGTTATGCCTACTGAAGGATGCACATGTGGACCTGCGGTCAAATGTGTTGCAATTCGCTTTGAGGAATTGTGTCCTGGGCATTTGCAAGGATCTCCTGGTATTAAGTTCGAATCCCAGATTCGTACCAAGTATGATTCTTGGTCTCTCAACGTCATTCCCGTGTTTGTGGGCTTCAGGGAAAACGCCATTCAAATACATACTTTTCTTGAAACAAATATTCTTCCATCATCACTTTAATACCACAACAGTATGGAATTTTACATTATAAAGATATTTCAATAAAGACAGGGCGGTTCGGCTTCGGAATGGCTAGCACATGTATTTTAGGACATAAACAAACTCAATTCATCTTATCAAGATCTATGATCTAATGATATAAGGATTGTTATTCCTCCATTCCTTCTGTGTGTATAGTCAAGTTTGGACTGCTGCCTTTTATATGTAACAAGCGCGTTACATGAAAAATTAATTGTGAAGACAATTCGATTGCATACTTCCTATTTTGAAAATAAAATTAAACATTGTTATTAAAATGTGGACAACCAAAGAATACATGTTGAAGCCATTTCATTTGCAAGACCCCCCAAATTAGTTTCCTTTCAACGTTAAATGTTCATTTAAACTAGCGTCAGAGCGGATTTAACCTCTCCCCCAACCAGCAGAACGAATTTGTCATCAATATGTATGGGCTTTTTTTATTCTGTATACTTCTAATAATGAATTATGTTACATTTCCGGATATACTGATGTTTGGGTGACAGTATCGAATATTGCTTAAAAACATCTATCATTTTGATAAAAGTCGAACAGGTTATCGGGCAAATTTTATCGCTAAGGACTTTCTGATTGGTCGGTCATGTTGCTTGAGTGACAGGTGGCGAGAGCTTACTTATGAGTCACGCCGTCAGCAAGCAAACCGTTATGTTTAAATCCTTTATCCATTTCTTTATTCTGTTTCATCCATCAGCTGCTTGTTACCTGGTGGCCGTTATAATCTTCGGAACGAACTTTGACGATGGTTTCTTCACCTACATCGGCGGAGTGATCATTCGCGAGGGAGAGTTCGGTTTCAGTTTCGGCTTCGCCATTGTCGCTCTTGTCTTGGAGATTGTGGCGGGAGTTCTGATGTTGCTGGATGGAAAGGGCGTCACTGTGACGTCACCGTCGTAACGATGGCACACTCATGATGGTACCCCACCATTGACTCTGTAGATATATTCAACTTTCTCACCTCAGTATGTTATTGGTTTGTTAAACGTTATTTCCATTAAATGAGTTTGTTTGTTCGGATTTATGTTGTTCTTTTTGTAAGTATTGTAGTGTGGTGTCTGATGAACATTATATTGTTTCCTTTAAGGCGGTTGGGGGCAGATTTATATTGTAATAAAACGGGTCTTAGGCAGCGAAGTGTGAGTGTGTTTGCTTTAAGGCCGCTTTTAACAGTATTCCAGTTATATGAGGGCGTGTCAGCTTAATGTGGGAGGAAAGCCCGAAGTTATGCAGGTCTCAGACGTTTACCACTTCGGTGAAACCCACGAGCACGGGTATGGTGCTGACAAACCTAGAAACATAATCGGGGCGAACCGGGATTCGAACCCACAATCATTCCCTCGTGTGTGCAATGAGAACTGTGCAGTGACAGGTACGATTTGGACCGTGGGATAGCGAAGTGCGTAGTGCGGGGTATCCCAACACCACTATAAAGATAATACTAAGCTGCAATGCTTCGCTTATCAGGACGACTTCACTCGGAAGACTACCATCCGGATTATCGAGGTTACTCTGTATAAGGTAGAAGTATCTTTCACACATGAAACGAAAAACATGCAGAGATTGTATTAAGGTAATACGTCGTGTTATGCCTTGGTCTTTCTGGTTATGCTGCCGACGTGACTATAAGTTTAAACTCACTAAACCTCTCTGGTCATTTAGTACTTTCATTACCATACTATTAGTCTGTTTTGTGTGGCGTGGTCAACGGACTGCGATAAACTTGGTAGATTTCGTCGTCGTAAATAACAGGCTGTCAGTTATCAGAGTCGGACTTCGGTCATCAGAAATTCGTAACGGCAGATATCTCAGTCAGTTGTGTAAAAACATTATCACCCGCAAATTTATGTTGGGTCGATATCAGAGCCATGTTAACGTTAGAGCTGGAGATATCTAAAGACACCACACCCCTCCAGAACCTGAACAACGGGTTCCTGGTGAAGAGGGTAAATTTGGGACTTATCTACAACCGTAACCTCGATGTAAACTTTGGTACATTTGTTGTGGTAACCACATACACATATAAACCCCAAACACATTAAGATGCATCAACACATTCGGCTTGTTCCACTGCATCTGTACGTGTATCAACATGGGTTTGAAGGACAGTTTCATGAAGAGTTCGACTCTGACTAAAATCTGCCTGGTTCTACTGTTGCTGGCCCAGATCTGCAGCTGGATTGCTTTTACTGTTCCTGAGTGGGGGAGGAAGTACACTGATCGATTGTTGGGCACTGATGGTGGATACACGGGACTTGGTCTGTGGAGGACGTGTTCCAACGGTGCCTCCACGTCGTACACAGGCCCTTCGAACTGTAATTCTTTCAATTTGGATGGCGCAGTGTTAGGTCAGTGCTACGTTATGTCATTATAATGTGATTATGAGTTTTACCAGTACCAGTACCACAGGATAGACACAATTTTATGGATAACAACTTCTTTAATACTGTGAAAAGCGACGTTTCGGTATAGATCCTTATACCGTTGTCCTTGCTTGACAACGGTATAAGGATCTATACCGAAACGTCGCTTTTCACAGTATTAAAGAAGTTGTTATCCATAAAATTGTGTCTATCTTGTCATCCGTCAACTTCTAAGTAATGCCTATCAAACAATTCAGTACCACATAATGTCAGATGTGAGTGAGTGAGTGAGTGAGTGTGTGAGTGAGTGAGTGAGTTTGGTGCAACGATTACTGTTGTTGAATCAGGTGTGTACTTGCCTTCTGTGTGCCAGAACGGCGGAAGCGATAACCATTCAAAGTACCACCTTCTACAAGTTACACGGGACTATGGGCGAAACGGGAGCACATTGACACATACTTTACGCTGGTAATAGAATTTTGGGGAACAGATATATGGTGAAAGTATTGATAACCTATCGATATAATGATGTTATGTTTGATGATTATAAAGTTATATGTGTGTTTATTTACATACTATTTTACATGTCTTAAATATTTGGTGTCCAAAATTAAGGGTAGCTTTGCATGCGCAGGAATATGGCGATTAATAAATAGCTTCGTTCCACTTGTACCAGTAGTATTGTGAACGTAGGAAATATACATTGTCAATGCAGAGGATCGAACTTAGAGTCTACGAATTGTAGTTTGAATGGTTGAATGGTCCAGTTTGCAATCCGCTAATGTTTTCTTCACACACAATCTGATATAACTGAAATACTGTTCAAAGCGGTGTTAACCAAACTCACTACCTCTCTCACCTTAAATCACCTAGTCATCTTAAATCACCTGCTATTGTGATTGTGATCTGGCGCAGATGGCGTTTAAAGCGTAGAAACGGGGGGATTCGCCGATGATCGCATGCAATGTTTTCAGATGAGTTCTGATTCAGATGAACTTACTGGATAGGCGTAGATGTGTCTGTAGGGTCCTAACGAACGTCATGCGAAGGTCAACGTAACGTGAAAAATGTTGGGTGGGAATGTAATACGTTACAAGCACATGGACACGTGATTGTCTTATTGTTATATGGTTACCCCAGTCAGTTTTTCGGAATAACACCAAACTCCACTTTTATTGAACTGAATTCGCTTCCCTCCCGTTAACCCCATTCCTCGTTTTATCTTTGTACATTGTACCCGTGAAGATCCGGGGTAGAATAGGTCTTCAGCAACCCATGCTTGCCGTAAAAGACGATTACTCTTGTCGTATGAGGCGACTAACGGGATCGGGTGGTCAGGTTCGCTGACTTGGTTGATTCATTTCATCGTATCTCAATTGCGCGGATCGATGCTCATGATGTCAATCACTGGATAGTCTGGTCCAGACGATTATATACAGACCGCGTCCTCGAGCTGAAATATTGCTGAGTGCGGCGGTAAACAACAAACAAACAGACTTTGTACATTATTCGTTCATTGTGTAAACATATCAGCATGTATATGTTATATATATTATAATATATAATATTAAATCAATACGCTTACTCAGTACAAGCAATTAAGACGTCGTCATCAATAAACGTTTCATGTCTTCAAATTAATACATTCGATGTACATATGCCTTGATACTATTTAATCGTCCTCTCCTTTACAGACTGGTTCGTAGCTGTTCAGGCTTTCTCTATTTTTGGCTTCGTCGGTATCAACATCGCCTTCATCATCGTGGTGCTGCAGGTTTTCACGTCCAAATGTGACGACATCACCGACATCGGGTTTTGGAATGCCGTACAGAGTATTGTCACAGGTGACGTACCTGATTCAATGACGTTTTTGTCCTTGTTATTCATAAATTCACCGATGCTATATCTTTTGCTTTCTATAGAAAGTCTCAAATCAGTTAGGATTAGATGTTATTATTAATGAATATTCACACGTTAACATTTATGCCTTTTCATCGCATCAATGGAAAAGATTTATCAAAATTAATTTCGATATGTAAATCAACCACTGTGACGTGCTTAAGACATTTTTGGGCCGGTGATTGCCACGTAAATAAAATAATCTGTTTTTAGAATTCCACATGTTGATCATTCACAGAGATTGCACATGAGAATCGTGCTCTTCAGAAGATAATCTCTTACCAACATATGTTTTCTTCAAGATTTATCAACGATACTCTCATTAAATTTGGATATATAAAACATTTCGTCTACTAACGTGTATATTTTTTTTCTTCTGTCAATTTGCATGTAAATAGTATATGATCAGATTTCAAATAGGTGTATTATCTTGCATAGAGATTAAGGGGGGCACGGGTGGCCCAGTCGTCTAAGGCGCCGCGATTCGCTGTGCAGAGTTGCGTCCCTTGGGCACGCCAGAAACCTATGATTGTGGGTTCGAATCCCGGTTCGCCCCGATTATGTTTCTAGGTTTGTCAGCACCATACCCGTGCTTGTGGGTTTCACCGAAGTCGTAAACGTCTGCGACCTGCATCATTTCGGGCTTTCCTCCCACATTTAGCTGACACGCCGCGATATAACTGGAATAGTGTTAAAAGCGGCGTTAAACCCAACTCACTCACTCACTCACTCACTCATAGAGATTAAGCATACAAATTGTGAATTACAAACAATTAGCGCATACCTACATTTACATATTTATTTTTTCTTTACATTTTGCAGCAATATGTTACCTTATAGCGGTGATCGTGTTTGGAGCGGAGTTTGACGATGGAGATTACGGTAGACCGATACCAAAAGGTTATAATTACAAGGCCGGAGAGCTCGGGTTCAGCTTCGGCCTGGCCATCGTGGCTCTGTTACTGGAGGGTGTGGCCGGGGTGCTGATGCTGGTGGACAACAAGAAGGGGAAAGGAACATCGCCGGCGTAGTGATGAAGTAGTGGATGTCATTGTATTTATGTTACACATAATGCTATTTGTCTGGGGAGTAGGAATTGTTTACAAGATGTTAAGGTGATATATGTGCTGTACAAACAATGAAGGATGCATGCTATTCAATGCCAAAGCGTTTCAAGTCTTCGACGATTTCATTATAGCTGATGTTTAATAACAAGACATATTGTGAAATGTTTTATCAGATTGGCATTGTCACCTCTAAAATGGTTTTTGGTTGGATTTGTTAAAGGCATTGACATCTGAATAACGTGTAAGCCTATGGGCATGATATAGATTTTGTGTCACAGAGCGACCATATTGCTTCGTTCTGCATAAAGCGTGCATTATATATTTGGAACTTCAGAGGATTTACATTATCTTGGTAGCCTAACGACGATTATACGAACGTACATTGCTGTACAGAACTGATGGCTGAATACCTATACCAAGGCATTATGAGCAATAAAGATAAAAACTGCTATTCATTTGACTTATGTTATTAACTTATGTGTTCTTATTACAATAAGTCTATATTATTAAAATACTATGCACAACACTAAGTCTAGCAGTAACACGCACGGAACGTGTACACAACATCCGTTACTCATATTTGGTCAGCCGACGACAATTATATAACAGCCATTGTATACAAAGTTTAACAAACGGTGACAGTTGTTTTACGCCGCTGTCAACTTAGAGCCTGGACCAGGCAAACCAGTGATTGAAAGCATGAGCAACAACCCATGTCATCTCAAATCGCAGAGCTTGACCACACGATCACCTTTAGTCGGCTCTTATGACAAACTAAGGTTATTCCACCTATTCCTCCCCCGATACTAATAAGACAAACATGGCAATGTGTTCCATCACTGGCTTATCACTAATAAGACACATGGCAATGTGTTCGATCGCTGGATTATTACTAGTGAGACAAACATGGCAATGTGTTTCATCGCTGGCTCATTACTAGTGAGACAAACATGGCCATGTGTTCGATCGCTGGCTTATTACTAGTGAGACAAACATGGCCATGTGTTCGATCGCTGGCTTATCACTAGTGAAACAAACATGGCAATGTGTTCGATCGCTAGCTTATTACTAGTGAGACTAACATGGCAATGTGTTCCATCGCTGGCTTATTACTAGTGAGACTAACATGGCAATGTGTTCCATCGCTTGCTTATTAGTAGTGAGACAAACATGGCAATGTGTTCCATCGCTGGCTTAGCACTAATAAGACACATGGCAATGTGTTCGATCGCTGGCTTATTAGTAGTGAGACAAACATGGCAATGTGTTCGATCGCTGGCTTATTACTAGTGAGACTAACATGGCAATGTGTTCCATCGCTGGCTTATTACTAGTGAGACTAACATGGCAATGTGTTCGAACGCTGGCTCATTACTAGTGAGACTAACATGGCCATGTGTTCGATCGCTGGCTTATTACTAGTGAGACAAACATGGCCATGTGTTCGATCGCTGGCTTATTACTAGTGAAACAAACATGGCAATGTGTTCGATCGCTAGCTTATTACTAGTGAGACCGCCTCCCTGGTCTTGTGGTAGAGCGTCCGCCCGGAGAGCAGAAGGTCCAGGGTTCGATCCCGGGCTGCGTCATACAAAAAGACGTTAAAAGATTGTACTTGTTGTTACCCTGTCTGGCGCTCGGCATTAAGGGGCTAAAACAAGGACTGGTCGGCTCGGAGTCAGTATACTGTGTCTGAGTGGGGTATTCATGTTAAACTGCGGCATGGTATCTCAGTGAGCTAGCACTATAAATCGGCATCAGTCCGGACTAGTACAAGCAGCCACACACACACATACACGTGCATGCACGTCGCTATATAAGTGCAATAATCTTGGACGCGACGTTAAACTCAATTTCACCTCACCTTATTACTAGTGAGACAAACAAGGCAATGTGTTTCATTGCTGGCTCATTACTAGTGAGACAAACATGGCCATGTGTTCGATCGCTGGCTTATTACTAGTGAGACAAACATGGCCATGTGTTCCATCGCTGGCTCATTACTAGTGAGACAATCATGGCCATGTGTTCGATCGTTGGCTTATTACTAGTGAGACTAACATGGCCATGTGTTCCATCGCTGGCTTATTACTAGTGAGACTAACATGGCAATGTGTTCCATCGCTTGCTTATTAGTAGTGAGACAAACATGGCAATGTGTTCCATCGCTGGCTTAGCACTAATAAGACACATGGCAATGTGTTCGATCGCTTGCTTATTAGTAGTGAGACAAACATGGCAATGTGTTCGATCGCTGGCTTATTACTAGTGAGACTAACATGGCCATGTGTTCCATCGCTGGCTTATCACTAGTGACACTAACATGGCAATGTGTTCCATCGCTGGCTTATCACTAGTGAGACTAACATGGCAATGTGTTCCATCGCTGGCTTATTACTAGTGAGACTAACATGGCAATGTGTTCGATCGCTGGCTTATTACTAGGGAGACTAACATGGCCATGTGTTCCATCGCTGGCTTATCACTAGTGACACCAACATGGCAATGTGTTCCATCGCTGGCTTATTACTAGTGAGACTAACATGGCCATGTGTTCGATCGTTGGCTTATTACTAGTGAGACTAACATGGCCATGTGTTCCATCGCTGGCTCATTACTAGTGAGACAATCATGGCCATGTGTTCGATCGTTGGCTTATTACTAGTGAGACTAACATGGCCATGTGTTCCATCGCTGGCTTTTACTAGTGAGACTAACATGTCAATGTGTTTCGCTGTTTACTTATCACTAGTGAGACTAACATGACAATGTGTTTCGCTGTTTACTTATCACTAGTGAGACTAACATGACAATGTGTTTCGCTGTTTACTTATCACTAGTGAGACTAACATGTCAATGTGTTTCGCTGTTTACTTATCACTAGTGAGACTAACATGGCAATGTGTTTCGCTGTTTACTTATCACTAGTGAGACTAACATGACAATGTGTTTCGCTGTTTACTTATCACTAGTGAGACTAACATGGCAATGTGTTCCATCGTCGGCTTTTATCTAAGGATACGGACATGGCTTTTTGTAATTCCATCGGTGGCTGACTACATTGCATGATTGTACTGCGGAGATAAAGACAATGACGCAGTGGACATGGCCAAACGCAACACTGCTTTAATGCTCAACAACTTCCCGTGATATCCCTCGTCAAAATACGACGTTGCAAATATGTTTTGATCCAAATTCAGACACAATTTACTCGTTAACTTGCCCTGAAGACTGTTAGAAAAAATACAACTGTGAAGGCACTTTAAGCATTACAAGTAGCTGAACGCGATCACCGCGACCTGATTACCACCCGACAACCGTCCCGGCAACAGTATCAGCCGTACTGACTAAACACAAACTTGCACATGAAAAAGTTTACCGAGTTTGTTAGAAGAAAGATAAAAATTGTCAATAACGTTCTGTATTTAAATACGATTCCTGCTCTTCAAAGGAACAAAGAGTCAAAACAAAATGCCCCCACTTTCTGTCCTCTTTTCTCTTAACGTTAGAAAGGTTGACTGTATTAACATATGTTTGCCGAGCAGTGAATCTTGAACTGCTGTCTCATAAAATCCTCAACGAGTTGACTGTTTTATACTACACCCGTGCCGATATTTATCCATAGCTACAGTGTGTGGACAATAGCATGGATTTGAACCAACAGGTGTGGAAGCCCCTTGTTCTGTATAAAGGGCATATCAGCGGCGTTACGCCTTCCTTTATCCTATTAATAAAGTTGGGTGCGTCCACATAGTTGTAGTCAGTCGTTAGGCTATCTGTCACTGTAACCAACAACACCATACCTTGGATACTCTACCCGGAGTACCCGTGCACTCACGGATAAGGCCACCTTCATATACCACAGGGGTGCGTGAGTGAGTTTAGTTTTACGCCGCTTTTAGCAATATCATGGCGGGGGAGAAATTAAATGGGTTCCACACATTGTACCCATGTGGGGAATCGAACCTGGGTCTTTGGTATAACAAGCGAACGCTTTAACCACCAGACTACCCCACCGCCCATAAACCACATGAGATTAAACCTATACATACATACCTATGTAATGTATTGTTCTTAGAATTATAACTCAATATGAATGTTTTATAAATCTGTATATTTTAGACTGAGCAAGTAAGTGAACTAGATTTTAAACTAAAGTTAAGTCCGTGGCCTTGGGGATTATTGCGGAGCTGTATGCCCTTTTAACTGCTGATAAAGGTTGAAACATCTCAATTATTAGAAGACCCGTGAAAATCCGGGGTACAATAGGTCTTCAGCAACCCATGTTTGTCGTAAAAGGCGACTACGCTTGTCGTAAGAGGCGACTAACGGGATCGGGTGGTCAGGCTTGCTGATTTGGTTGATGCATGTCATCGTATCCCAATTTGGTGGATCGATGCTCATGACGTCAATCACTGGATAATCTGGTCCAGACTCGACTATGTTTACAGACCGCCGTCATATAGCTGGAATATTGCTGAGTGTTGCGTTAAACAACAAACAAACAAACTACCAGAAAGGTTAGGGTGATTATTCTAAATACATCTATTTTCATCTTGGCCCAATCACCGACATTCTGTTGTCACCTGTGGCTAGTGCAAAGAGAATATGCGAGATTTATTTTAGCCATTAGATCATAAAGCAAGCTCTCATTCTGTATATGACCTCCGTTCCCGTAGGGGCGCTGGTGTAGCCACCCAAAAAACAATTGTATCATGTGTATACATGTATACTTGAACACATACCCTTGTCGTTGGTGCAATGTACACAGAATATACAGTGTAGATAGTATGGTGTGTGTGTGTGTGTGTGTGTGTGTGTGTGTGTGTGTGTGTGTGTGTGTGTGTGTGTGTGTGTGTGTGTGTGTGTGTGTGTGTGTGTGTGACACGTTGTTTGTAATGAGTTTTGTGAAACTGACACGTTGTATGTCATGAGTTTGTGAAACAAACGTTGTATGTAATGAGTTTTGTGAAACAAACGTTGTATGTTATGAGTTTTGTGAAACTGACACGTTGTATGTAATGAGTTTTGTGAACAGCCACGTTGTATGTAATGAGTTTTGTGAAAGTGACACGTTGTATGTAATGAGTTTTGTGAACAGCCACGTTGTATGTAATGAGTTAGCGAAACTGACACGTTGTATGTCATGAGTTTTGTGAAACTGACACGTTGTATGTAATGAGTTTTGTGAACAGCCACGTTGTATGTCATGAGTTTTGTGAACAGCCACGTTGTATGTAATGAGTTTTGTGAAACTGACACGTTGTATGTAATCAGTTTTGTGAACAGCCACGTTGTATGTAATGAGTTAGCGAAACTGACACGTTGTATGTAATGAGTTTTGTGAACAGCCACGTTGTATGTCATGAGTTTTGTGAAAGTGACACGTTGTATGTAATGAGTTTTGTGAACAGCCACGTTGTATGTCATGAGTTTTGTGAAACTGACACGTTGT